TATTCCGACGGGTTTTCCGACGGATCTAATTCTGTCGGCGCTGTTTTTGACTTTATTTGAAATTCCGTCGCAAATTTCTGATGGAAATTTCCGTCGGAGGTGGGTAGGTTTCCGACGGAATTTTCCGTCGAAAGAGGTACATTCCGACGGAAAATTCCTTTGGAAAGGTCAATAATAATAATAAAAAAAAAAAGACCAGCCTCACCCCACCCACACCCAGCGCCACCAGCCTACATCCCCACACACCACCAGCCCACCCCCTGCCCCTACCCCCCTACCCACCCACACCACCACCAGCCCACCCCACAAACACCACCAGCCCACCCCCTGCCCCTTACCAGCCCTAACCACCCTCACGCACCACCCCTACCAGCCCCAACCACCCTCACGCACCACCCCTACCAGCTCCAACCACGCAACACCATCGAAACCACCCACACACCACCACCAACCCACACCCAAACCCACTAGCCCACCACCGTACACCACCACCTATCCCACCTTCACACACCACCATCAACACACACCCAAACCCACTACCGTACACAACCAAAACACCACCAACATCCCACCCAACAAAACCGAAACCACCCCAACACATACCCCACCCACACCAAACCTAAAACCCCACCCATACCAAACCAAAACACCACAAATCAATTCCAAAAAAAATAACCGAAAATTATCATAAAAAATCAACAAAAATTACCCAAATCAATTCACAGAAATATATAAATATACATAAATTTAACAAAAATTATACATTAACATTACAATGACATCAATAATTAACTAAAATCGAAATTTAAAATGAAAAAAAGGCTAGATCTACTTGGTGTTGGTGAACTTGGTGTTGGCGAACTTGGTGTTGACATCAATAAAAAAAGGTCGTTGTTGGTGAACTTGGTGTTGGCGGCGTCGTTGAAGGTGTTCGTTGACGGCGGTGTTCGTACTTGGTGTTGCGTTGAGGGTGTTCGGCGGTGTTGGTGGCTATGAAAGTGAAAGGGGAGAAGAGAGGAAGAACCAAAGAGGAGAAGATGAGGGAGAAGGAGAACGTGAAAGGAGAAGAGGCGAGAGGAGAAGAGAAAGGAGAAGAGAAATGAGGAGAGAGAAAGAGAGGAGAAGAGCTGGAGGCGGAGAGAAGAGGAGGGGAGAGAGAAAAGAGAAATAAAAGGGGGTGGGGAACCGGTTTTTTTTAGGGTTTTTAGGGTTAGTTTTTTTATTTTATTTTATTATTTTCCAATGGAATATTTCGTCGGAAATTAAATTTCCGCAGGGAATTTATTGTTTCGACGGAATTATCCGTAGGAAATTTCCCACGGATTTTATTTCCGTCGAAACATTATATTTCCGACGGAATATTCCGTCGGGAAGCCCATAAATTCCGGCGGATTTTTATTCCGTAGGAAATCCGTCGTAAATGTCCGACGGAATTTTATTCCGTCGGAATTTACTGGATTTCTGACGAAAAAACATGTCCGTCGGAATTTGGCCTATTTCTAGTAGTGACACCTCATTGACAACGAACTATTTCTATTTCATCACACACCTCATTGACAACTACAAAAGCAATGTCATAAGTTGATACAATCCCCTTTATTCTATTTAGCCACAATCCAAAACCATTAGCAGCGTTTGACAGCTGTGTTCAATTGTGCTTATGTTAGTTCACCCTGGTATGATTTTTTTAATGTGTTGGTAGTACTACAAAGATCATTTTTTACCATGGAAAACTTTGCTGGTATATATGCTTGAATGAGTTGCTGGTATATATATATATATATATATATATATATATATATATATATATATATATATATATATATATTTATTGTAACTCATGTTGCAGGGGTCATGTTACATTAGAGTTTTCTAAAGAGTAGGAAACAAGAATGACCTTTGTTGGTATATATTTACATACCATTAACTTGGTTGATGGTATATATCATATTATCATTCAACTATATATATATATATATATATATCATATTAACTCTAATGTAACATGACCCCTGCAACATGAGTTAATAATATGTCGTTGAAGAGGAGAAATATGAAATGACATTCATTATTAAATAACTAGTGTATCCATACTAACTCAAATATAATTGTCCCACTTCTAAATCTAACTACCACACTATAATGAGAATATCGACATTGTTAGAGTTATTCCAGAAAATCTATTACCCATATTCGACCCCAAGCTAGCATACCAACTAGAGCAGATTCTTGTATATGCTATACCAACAAAGATAAGCCCTATCTTTGTCGGTTCATTCACTGATACTATCCATGTTATGGAACTGTCTACGTTAGCCGCTGTTATGCATGCCCATGTGTATTATGTCATTAACGACAAAAGGCTGAAACAATAATTACCCAACTACACAACAAATCAAAGGCCCAACGAATATCGCAAGATTATTTTACAAAACTCAAAAACATGAATTACAAGAAATTGAATGGGAAATGATTAAATTGATTCTTGTAATTTATTGTTGCAAAAAATACAATAAAAAATAAAGATTGGAGATAAGTTTGAGAATAAAGAATTTTGTGAATGGGGGAAATAAAGAAATAAAGAATGAATGAAGTTTGGCAGAAATAACAATTAATTTGGGACAAATTATGACAAAAAGGACCCACAATACTATCTTGCTTTTTTTTTTTTTTTTTTTTTTTTTTTAACATTTGCTTTTTTAAATGCTATTTAATTGTTGACTGTTGTACAAGTGGGGCCCAGTCCTTCCCTTGAGTCCATAAGGACTAAAGGTACTATACCCTCAGAAATCCTCTCCTTTTATTGGTCAGTCCATGCCCTCATGTCAATCATCTATAAGTCTATAACTTATTTTGTATTCTTTACGACTTTACCTATGGCCTACATAGTTAAGACCGTGATTGGCTTATATCGATTATATTTATAAAGTTATAAAATACTACTTATGATTAGTAGATATATAGAATTTAACAGTTTAAAAGTGTAATCGTGTTATGAAAGAAAAATTGTTAGCTCATTTATTCACGATTTAATTACTTAACAAAATTGTTAACGATTTGTGTTACACTATGTTTGCAAAGGAATATTTGGAGGGAAAGTGAGGGATATATTATTCCTTATTTGGATAAGACATAGGACAAGGTGTGAAAAAGGAAATGAAATGATCTATTTTCCTTCCCCTTAAATAAGTTGAAGAGATTTTAAAGAAAAATGAAAGGTTACTCTCTCCCATCCTCCCCTCACCTCATTCTCTCTTCCCGCTTTTTACACTTAAGATGATTTTTTTCCCCATTAAATAAATAAATAAATAAATTATCATCTTAAGTGTGTCCTCATTGTTTTGTTAATTATATATATATTTATTCGATAAAGTAAATTCATTCCATTATGTTAAAGAACTACAAGATTAATATATCATATCTTGTTCATTATCATTTTTGTTGTAATAATAAACTTGTATTGTTTATCTAGCATAATTCTAAAATAAGAGTTTTCTAGTTTCAAATATTGTTTTACAATGTTCAACATCACTTTGATGGATTTTTGTTGAAATATTAATATATGATCATTCATATATTAATAGATGTTCGTTTATAATTTGATTAATGTTCATTTTCACATAGATAGATGTTGGTTTATATTTATTTTTTATTTTTTTGACAAGTTGTTGGTTTATACGGAGTATTTAACTCACATTCGTTCTCTCATTGAAAATTATGTTCATATGAATTTTAAAACTTGTACATTCTTATATTGGAAGATGATCATTCTTTTATAGTCTGTCATTTTTTATTTGCATGAATGTTCATTACTATATTCTTAAATGTTTATTTTTGTTTTTAGTGTGTTCACAATTATTACATTTTTTTTTTTCCAATTTTGATATCTTATTTTACAAAATATCAACTAAGGAAGTTGAAGGTGTTATATATAATGGTGTCGAGATTTTGATTGTAAGGTAAACACGCAACAACATTGGATTTTGGGTAAACACGGATGATAACTCTACATTACTAGACGTGTACTTTTTAAATAGTAAATGTACATTTGAGAAGTTAAAGATGTTCCCCTTTACGCCTAAGAAACAATGGGTGTGTAATAATTTCAAAAGATTTTGCTAACGAGCACCCCCGGGGCGTTGTTAAGCATTGAAAATATTTCCTAAAGTGGTATTAATTTGGGAATGCATGTCAAAATCACACGTTGATCGGTGTTATTAATGTTCATTTTGATCTAATTTTTCGACTTTTAGCTATCTTATCTAACGCCCCTGGAACGTTTGTTAGCTTTTGCCAATTTCGAATGATAAAGCACCAATGATATTATAGTTGATTGAATTAATTTTGTATAATATCGAAAGGTATTTTTTAAACAAAATCTTTTGTAAATTCATTAAATAACTATACTTATTAATAACAAATTAGTCATCAAGAAACACAAATACAAAAATATAATAGTAATATTTTAAACATTTCACGTCTTACTAGCATAATTAAATTAAGTATTTAATAATTTATTCCAAAAAAATGAACATGTGGCCAGTGGGGGTGCAGGCAAATCTGCCTACTCCGGGGTGTAGACACTTGACAACACTTTGTAATCGTATCGAAACCCGGCCCATTTGTTTATTGGACGAAACTGACCCATATGTCATATATTACTGGGCAGGTTAGGGTTTTATTTTGAATTGCTCCACTCTCTCTCTCAATTCTCCATTGAAGCGCACTCGACATCGCACTTCGACATCGCACTTGACGTTCTACATTACAAATTATTTGTTCGAGGTAAGTTGTTGGTTTCTTTTAGTAATTATCATATGAATTTCATAATCTAGGGTTTAATTTAATTTAATTTAATTGTCAAGTGTAGGGTTCGAAAATCTGAACTACATACTAAGATTATAACCAGCGATTGTGTTGCTAGAAATTTGATAATTGAATCACATATCCCTAAAATTATCAGCTTTATTTGATGATCTGATAATTGAATCAAATTTGATTGCGCACAACCCTTTAATGTTTGGATTCAACTAATAATGTATCCTGTTTTACTAATACTTTTTTTTTTTTTTTTTGGGTTTCATTTTCAGCCTAACAATGGAGGAAGATGTTCCAGTAAGTTCTAAATACTTCTGCATATATTAATTCCTAAGTGCTCTGTGACTAGTAATTAATTGTTCCGTGTTATTCTTTCCAAATTGTAGAAGTGGTTTTGGTCGTTTTGGGTTAAGTTAGTTTTGAAATAAGTTAATTAAGGTCTATTAAGTTCCAGGCTGATAAGATAATATAATTTGATGTTGAATATGAAAATGAAAAGATAGATTTAGGTCCGATAACTCCAGATAATGATAAGCTTAAGGCTTTTAAGGTCGAATTAGCGCTTTTAGGGCTTATAAGTCCGTAAGATTAATTCCGTTCCGGTAAAGAGAGTGTTACCTAATAGCTCATTGTTTTTTTTTGTCAATATGAAGAGTGGATCATGGAGAGGTTAAACAAGGTAGAGGGAGACCGAAAATGACTTGGTTGGAAGGGGTTAGGAAGGATATGAAATATATGGATTTGCATGAGAATGAGGTATTTGATCGTAAGGGATGGAAGAGGAAGATTTTTCAGGATGACTACGGAATAATCACTTTTGGTTTATGTAGCAACTCCACTTATGGGATTAAGGCTTTGATTGATTGATTAATCACCACAGTGGCATTTTGTTGTATAAACTCTTGAAAGCTTCTTGCAATCTAGCATTTCTAAAATAGTAATAGGGGACATAAACTGTATATTAGTTGGACTGCAAGAGGAATTTGCGGAGTAGATAAATGTTGGTTCAAGTTGGAAATGAAATCTATATCACTGTAAATTTGTTAAATCAGTATCAATATTGTTGTGACTTAGAAGGTGCTTTGCATATTAGTTTTGTAAGGTAATGTGCTCACTCTTCTGTGCTAAGGTGTTATAATAAGGTGCACCTGGAATATTTTGGACTATATTAAAATGGCTTCTGCATGAACTATGCTTTAGATGGCCTATCTAATTCGTCTTCTGTTAAGCGTGTTAACTGATTATGTTGCTTCTACACTCAAGCTGATGAACAACTGTACTGTTTGATAACTTTTGAAGGGAAAGAATGAGGAAGAGGAGTTTAATACTGGCCCACTATCTGTACTTATGATGAGTGTCAAGAATAACACGCAGGTACCAGATAACTACTTTATTCACATTTTCTCATTTAAGTTGAATTTATCATTATTTACGATTTCCACAATATATTGATATACACTCCCTTTTGATTTGCTTTCATATTCCAAAATATTACCTAGCAAGAGGAGCATGTTTACACATCCCTTTATATCGCAATTTGCTCTGTTGGTATTTCCACAATATATTGATATACACTCCCTTCTGTATTTGCTTTCATATTCCAAAATATTACCTAGCAAGAGGAGCATGTTTACACATCCCTTTATATCGCAATTTGCTCTGTTGGTATTTAAATCTTCTGATTTACCTCTTCAGGTCCTTATCAATTGCCGAAACAACAGAAAATTGTTTGGACGTGTGAGAGCTTTTGATCGTCACTGCAATATGGTTCTTGAAAATGTCAGGGAGATGTGGACTGAGGTTTGTCTTAACTATCTACAATCCCCTTCCCTCTTTGCCCCATGATTAAATATTACTTAGTATCAGGTCCTGAGAATGGAACATATAATTGTTTATGCAGTTTAACACTTGAAAGGAAAAACAGAACTGTCATTTTTTGAAGTTGGAGGGAGCAAAGTTATCTATTTCATGGCTTTTCACATGCTGTGATATTAATGTAATTTCTTGTTGGCATGTCGCAGACTCCAAAGACTGGGAAAGGGAAGAAAAAGGCACAGCCAGTGAACAAGGACAGGTTCATTAGCAAGATGTTCCTTCGAGGAGACTCAGTTATCATTGTCTTAAGGAATCCAAAGTAATTTTGCAGTCACCTGACTCGCGTGAGCTGCTGATGGCCTGATTCTGCGGATGGCCCCTTTTATGCCAATGTAATCCGAGAGTAGTATTAGCTTAGTGGAAGTGTGGAAAATATGTTGGACAGAAATATGTTCTGAATAGCTGTAGCCTTTATTCTTGTGAGCTTGGTCGCTGGATAATGGTGTCAACTGTGCCAGGATTACATTGAAGTATGGCCAAGTAGTTTGTCTGAGTTGCTTTAGTTAGACTCAAGGATAGCAATCTGATTGTCTCCCGAATTATCTTTGCTTTGGTCACATACATATTGTCTCTTTATCGTGATTTGCAGTATCAGATTCATAGTTAACTGTTAATAATTTGAAATGTGGAACTTATGTCAATTATCTAAATAATTCTGTTTGGGTCCAATTTAGTCCAATTGGGCTTAGGCATTAAATGATCCAATTAAAAGCCCAAGGTCAAGGTTCATCTCTCCAATTGTGCTAAAGTCAAAGATCAGTCCTCAAGGCAAGCCAATTGGGCTAAGGCCCAACTTCTCCATGTATGCAGAGGTATAAAAGCCATCAATATTACATTTGTACATTCATTCAAGCAAAGCCTCAAGCAATTAATTCTCTTGCATAGTGTTCTCTTTCTACGCACTGTACTGACTTTAGCATCGGAGGGGCCTTCCTCGACAACACCCCCGAGGCTAGTTTACGTGTGTTTACTGTGCAGGAAACCTTCGGCCCAACATTACTTGGATCGAATCTAGTCTTCTCCACTTCATCGGACCTTCGACAAGGTCTCGTTGTTTTCACCCGAAACAATTTGGCGCCGTCTGCGGGGATTACTTTCAAAAATCTTTAAGCCAAATTTCTAACCAAGATCATCTTGCAATTATCTTAGTAGCAATGGCTAAGAACCACAAGAGCAAAGGCCTCCGTCAAGGAGCAGGCGAAAAGCCTAAAACCCCTACACCATCACCCTCGCCGGACCGGAACTCTCCCAAGGGTGCCAGCTCGGGGGGAGGATCATACAGGGAGGATTCTCTTTCTACCGTAATTCATAACTCTCATCATAGGCCGAGTCACTCTCGGTCTAGCAGGGGTGAGTCCGATCATAGGACACATTCAGTGCCCCAAAGCCAACCATCGACTGTGCGCCCTCATTCCCATACTCGGCCGAGGACCCCTTTGACGGGGCCCAGCTCGGAGGAGGTGGCAAGAGCGCTGGCAGTGCTCATGGAGGCAATGAGGGCAAAAAATATGCCACCACCTCGTGATCGAACTCCTCCGCATACCCGGCATCAGCGGAGGAAGCTAGACCATGATGGTGGGAAGCTTCCTTCCTTCCGGGAACTGGAAGAATGGGAAGAGGATACCTGGAAAAATGAAAAAGAGAGGAAAAAGAACCCTCAATTTTTCAAAGGATCCTCATCCTCCCGACCAGAAATGCATAAGAGCAGCAGCTCAGCTTCTCGGCCAGAATCTACTCACCGAGAACAACCTGAGACTGTTCGCCGAAGCGTCCTCGACCGACTCGGCGGCAAGGAACCGAGCGTGCACAGTCGCCTCTCGTTCCCTGCGGCCGAGGCCCAGACTTCCCAGCCAGGGACGAAAACCACTCCTACCTCTCTAAGAGGGCGGAGCGCGGTCCCTTCGGCCAGGAACAAGGGCAAGGCCGTTATGCTACCCGCCAGTTCGCCATTCGAGCAATGGATACTGGAAGAGCACGTGCCCACGGTTAAAATACCGTCGCACATCACATATGACGGGACCTCGGATCCGAAGGACCACGTGGCCTCGTATGAGACTCATATGCATCTTTGCCCCAGATCCGAAGCGACTTGGTGCAAATATTTCCCAACCACTCTCAAGGGGGTCGCGCAAGCGTGGATCTCCAAGGGAGTAAAGCAAGGCTCCATAGCAGGGTGGGATGATGTGTCCTCCAAGTTTAGGAGCAAGTTTTCCACGGCAAACCGCCGAGAGAAGACTACTGCAGAACTCATGAGTCTGCAACAGGGGGAAACCGAAAGCCTCCGAGACTATCTGACCCGTTTCAGTAACGAGTCATCCAGCATCTGTCAGCTGGACCAGGGGCTAGCCGTTTTTGCAATGCAGAATGGCCTTAAGCCCGGGAAGTTCCTAGACTTCATGGTCATGCATACCCCGCAGACCTTGGAGGAAGCTCTGAATGCCTCGGATAAGTTCATCCGAGCCAAAGAATGGAACAAAGCGAAAACCCAACCTCAATTCGGGGGAGGGAAACAAAGACAAATACCCTTGTCTGAAGGCCAAGGCCATAAGGCAAAGGGAAAGTCAAAGGCCTCGGAGCAATCTTCGGCCAGCGACCCAAAGAAGGGAAAATCTGCCTCATACACAGGCAGATACGAGTCCTACACTCCGCTCTCTCTTCCACGCGCCAAAATTTACAGCGTGACGAAGGAGGAGCAGAGTTACCGAAAGCCGAGACCACTCCCAGAGTGGTATCAGCGAAAAAATAAAAATCAGTGGTGCGAGTTCCACGAGTCTCCGGGACACAACACTGAGGAGTGTATCCAACTGAAGGACCAGATAGAGGACATGGTCCGGAAGGGATACTTGAAAAAATACATCGCGGATCACCGCGAGAAAAAAGAGTCCGAGAAGTCAGCAAAGGACTCTCGGCAAGACCTCGACTTCCCCCGGAAGAACAGTAAAAAGCCGGAGGGGAAATTCTCTCCGATCAATGTTATCTCGGGAGGAATATGCTCTCGGAGGGAGCACAAGCGACACCTTAGGGCTTTGACTCACCAGGTGAACAACGCTGACATTCAGTCTCCCCAATCGCCGGTGCCGAACATGACGTTCACAGCCGCCGACTGCCGGGGGATAAGGTTCCCTCACGAGGATCCGTTGGTTATCATCGCCACGGTGGCCAACCACGACGTCAGTAAGGTCCTTGTTGACGGTGGCAGCGGAGCAAACATTCTGTTCCGAAAGGCCTACAATCAAATCAAGCTGAAGCCCAAGCACCTTACGCTGGTACCCTACCCGGTATCCGGGTTCAACGGGGCTTCAACTTATCCAGATGGGAAGGTGACACTTCCTATCACCATCGGCTGCGATGAGGCAGCCAAGAACGTCATGATTGAATTTTTGGTCATTGACGCTCCTTCAGTGTACAACGTGATTTTGGGGAGACCCATAATTCATGAGATCCAAGGGGTCATCTCAACTTACCATCAGCTGATGATTTACGTCTCAGACGCCGGCTTCCCCGAAAGGATACAGGGCAACCAAAAGGACGCCCGAAGGTGCAACTACCTCAAGCCATCCAGTAGTCGCCCAGATGACGACAAGGATGAGGAGGAGAAAGAAAAAGAAAGAGAGCCAAGAACAAAAAAGCCGAAAGGCCTAAGTGCTTCGGCCCAAGGATCTGTACCCAGAGGTAAAGGGCCCGAAAGGGAAAAGGCTAGCTCTTCAGCTGAACAACAAGACTCAGAGAGCCAGCCGAAGAACAAAAAGACTGGGACACCTGCTGACATAGGCAGCAGGCCAGATTATGAAGAGTCCAGTCCATCAGCAATGGACATGGACCAACAGACTGAAACAGTTGAGTTGGCCGAAGGAGACGTTGAGAAATGTGTAACAATCGGGATGGACCTTGATCCGAACACCCGTTGTGAACTTATTCAGCTCCTTCGGGACAACAGAGATGTGTTTGCTTTCTCGGCAATTGATATGCCCGGGATAAGTCCGGACCTCATCTCCCATAAGCTTAATGTTGACCCAACGTGTCGACCAATTAAGCTTATGGGAGATGAGGTCTGGACTTATCCCGGGCATATCAGTTGCCGAGAAAGCAAACACATCTCTGTTGTCCCGAAGGAGCTGAATAAGTTCACAACGGGTGTTCGGATCAAGGTCCATCCCGATTGTTACACATTTCTCAACGTCTCCTTCGGCCAACTGTTTCAGTATGTTGGTCCATGTCCATTGCTGATGGACTGGACTCTTCATAATCTGGCCTGCTGCCTATGTCAGCAGGTGTCCCAGTCTTTTTGTTCTTCGGCTGACTCTCTAAGTCTTGCTGTTCAGCTCAACGTGTCGACCAATTAAGCAAAAGAAGCGGAATTACTCCGCTAATAAGAACCGAGACATCGCAGCCGAGGTCAAAAAATTGCTGGAGGCAGGCTTCATCGAACCTTGCCAATATCCAGAATGGCTGGCAAATGTGGTGATGGTTCAGAAGGCCAATGGTACCTGGAGGATGTGCGTTGACTTCACGGACCTAAATAAGGCTTGTCCGAAGGATTTCTATCCCTTGCCGAGGATCGATCAACTAGTCGATTCGACAAGTGGCCATGCCTTGCTTAGTTTCATGAACGCATTCTCGGGGTATCATCAGATCTTCATGCACCCCGACGATCGAGCAAAGACAGCATTCGTCACGAACGCTGGGGTGTACAATTACAAAATGATGCCCTTCGGATTGAAAAATGCGGGGGCAACCTATCAGAGGCTGGTGGATCAAGTTTTTGCCGATCAAAAGGGCCGAAACATGGAAGTCTATGTCGACGATTCGATCGTCAAAAGCAAAAAACCTGAGGACCATGTTAAGGACCTGGCTGAAACTTTCGCCACCTTAAGAAAGCATCAAATGAAGCTGAATCCGAAGAAGTGTGTCTTCGGCGTGAAGTCAGGGAAATTCCTTGGGTTCATAGTCAGCAAAAGGGGGATTGATGCCAATCCCTCCAAAGT